TAGTTATATAATTTCATATACATAATTTGATTTAATAATAACCCAATTTGAAGCAAAAACAGAATGTTCTGACTATCTTTGTGAAATTATACTACATGCCTGAATGAAGCAAACAGCAGAAGCTCTGAATGAGACGCAGATTCACTCTCTGACAGCAGGAGGCGCTCATGGAACACCAGAGACTGCGTTTCCTTGGTTACCGCGTAAACAAAGCAGCACTGCGCTGAAACGCTGCTTTAATATGAACTATCCACCTTTTTCTTCAACGCGGAAGTAAGCCTATGGGCGAGACTTCCGGATCATTAACCGCTATAGGTAAATAATGACAAGAATAACAATGTGCAGTAAACGGTAAAACTGTTTGTACTACAAACCAGTGTGTTCATAATTAAGATAATACATTAAAATTATATGGTAAGACACACCAATTTGCAATATCAAGCAGCAAAAATGAGCTGTTTTGTGCAGCTAACAATAGCTGTAAGCGGATGAGACCGTAAGCCAAACCCATAAAATTTACAAATGGCCGCAAATGGGTAGATAGAATGATTTCTGAAAGATCATGTGACACTGAAGACTGGAGGAATGATGCTGAAATGTCAGCTGTGCCATCACAGGATTAAATTACATTTGAAAATATATTCAAGTAGAAAACATAATAAATGCAGCCTTGGTGAGCAGAAGAGACTTAAAAAAAAAAAATTTGAAAATCATACAGATTTGGAACGACATGAGGATGAGTAAATGAGAATTTTGACATGAAAAACAGCGCATACCGCAGGAACGGTATAATGGAAAATATTAGCGGTTTTGAAACCGTGAAATGATCAAACCGCGGTATACCTTGAAACCGGTAATCGGCCCATGCCTATTCCAGACATCTGTCTAATAAATAATATATCAGTCTGATGAGAGCATTGAAACTGGAGCTCTGCCCTCAGAAAAGACATAAGAGAGATAAAGCAAGTCAGATATCTGTTATTAATACAAGCATGCAGTAATCTTTTATTTATCAGGTGGCGTGTTAGTCTGTCCTATATTTTAGAAGTACATATGAAGAGAATTAGCATTCGTGTTCAGTGACTAATGCAGCTGGGGGTGGAGCAGGAAACAGGCCTCACCACAGAGTCAGATTATGTCAAAAGATAACTTCTGTTTCCAGGCCACAGCGGCAACCAGCCTCTGGCTATCACCACTCAGAGAGAGAGAAGGATAGTAGTGATTTCACTAAACATTTGCAACACTTTTAGTTTTAAGTAAAGTATTTAAGTGCAAAACATTCACTAACTACCTGCAATCAGGCACCAACTACTACACTATAACAATGCTGTATATCAATTACTTTACTGTCATTCTTTTCAATCATGTTTCCTTTCTTTGGAGGACAATAAATGGCACATAAAGATATGTTATCAATTTATTAATTTAAAAATACTTTATCAAAAATGATTAATCCATCATTTTATTGTTACATTTAACATTTAAGCATGAATTATATAAACAGGTCCAAATGACACGTGATGCATTCAATGTAGGTCACACTTTCTTTTAAGGTCCAATTCTCGCTATTAACAATGACTAACTATGAATTTGCCTTAATAAACGTCAAATTTGCTGCTTATTAATAGTTAGTAAGGTAGTTGTTAAGTTTAGGTATTGTGTAGGATTAGGGATGTAGA